AGAGTAAAAGTTATAGTGCAGTGTAAGATATTAATCAAAAGCCTCAAAGTTGATTCAATAAAAATGCTACAAACTAAAGTCTTCAGCCACTATGAAGACCTCAGAACTGGAGTGATTTGATGGCCTTTTTGGTCTTAGTAAGGACTCAAGAAGCAGCGTTCGGAATCAGATACCACTTGATTTTTAGGGAGACCGCTATAGTAGTCCAGTCGACTTAAGATAAATGCATTGACAAGTTTTTCCTAATAAGTCCTTAATTCCTTCATATATTCTTAAGGTGATAGTAGCCTGACTTTGTAATGTTTCTATACAGGTGCTGGTCATATAATTAGAATATCATCAAAAAGTTGATTTATTCAGTAATTCCATTCAAAAAGTGAAACTTGTATAATAGTATAATGTATACATTCATCCACACAGACTGATAATTTCAAGTGTTCATTCCTTTTAATTTTGATGATTATAACTGACAACTAATGAAAACCCCAAAATCAGTATCTCAGAAAATTAGAATATTGTGAAAGGTTCAATATGAAGACACCTGGTGCACACTCAATCAGCTAATTAACTCCAAACACTGCAAAGGCCTTTAAATGGTCTCTCAGTCTAGTTCTGTAGGCTACACAATCATGGGGAAGACTGCTGACTTGACAGCTGTCCAAAAGACGACCATTGACACCTTGCACAAGGAGGGCAAGACACAAAAGGTCATTGCTAAAGAGGCTGGCTGTTCACAGAGCTTGTGTCCAAGCACATTAATAGAGAGGCGAAGGGAAGGAAAAGATGTGGTAGAAAAAAGTGTACAAGCAATAGGGATAACCGCACCCTGGAGAGGATTGTGAAACAAAACCATTCAAAAATGTGGGGGAGATTCACAAAGAGTGGACTGCAGCTGGAGTCAGTGTTTCAAGAACCACCACGCACAGACGATGCAAGACATGGGTTTCAGCTGTCGCATTCCTTGTGTCAAGCCACTCTTGAACAAGACACAGCGTCAGAAGCGTCTCGCCTGGGCTAAAGACAAAAAGGACTGGACTGCTGCTGAGTGGTCCAAAGTTATGTTCTCTGATGAAAGTAAATTTTGCATTTCCTTTGGAAATCAAGGTCCCAGAGACTGGAGGAAGAGAGGAGAGGCACAGAATCCACGTTGCTTGAAGTCCAGTGTAAAGTTTCCACAGTCAGTGATGGTTTGGGGTGCCATGTCATCTGCTGGTGTTGGTCCACTGTGTTTTCTGAGGTCCAAGGTCAACGCAGCCGTCTACCAGGAAGTTTTAGAGCACTTCATGCTTCCTGCTGCTGACCAACTTTATGGAGATGCAGATTTCATTTTCCAACAGGACTTGGCACCTGCACAGTGCCAAAGCTACCAGTACCTGGTTTAAGGACCATGGTATTCCTGTTCTTAATTGGCCATCAAACCCGCCTGACCTTAACCCTATAGAAAATCAATGGGGTATTGTGAAGAGGAAGATGCGATACGCCAGATCCAACAATGCAGAAGAGCTGAAGGCCACTATCAGAGCAACCTGGGCTCTCATAACACTGAGCAGTGCCACAGACTGATGACTCCATGCCATGCCGCATTGCTGCAGTAATCAGGCAAAAGGAGCCCCAACTAAGTATTGAGTGCTGTACATGCTCATACTTTTCATGTTCATACTTTTCAGTTGGCCAACATTTCTAAAAATCCTTTTTTTGTATTGGTCTTAAGTAATATTCTAATTTTCGGAAGATACTGAATTTGGGATTTTCATTGGTTGTCAGTTTTAATGTCACAATTAAATGAAATAAACATTTTGAAATATATCAGTCTGTGTGTGATGAATGAATATAATATCCAAGTTTCACTTTTTGAATGGAAATACTTAATAAATCAACTTTTTGATGATGTTCTAATTATATGACCTGCACCTGTAATGTGCTTGTTGAAACTTGAAACTTGTGGTCCATGACCACACCAAGATTTCTGGCTTAGTTTATTTTTTGGGCTTTTGCCTTTATTTGATAGGAGCAGTTGAAGAGAGACAGGAAATGTGTGGGAGAGCGAGGGAATGAGAGGAGATGGAATGTTTTATCTGTGTTTAATTAAAGAAAATTCAGGCACATCCATGCATGGATTGGGATTATAGTCCTCTAGTGACATGGTTTTGTACATTTGAGTATTGAATGATTGACCAACCGGTCGAGGCAGATGGCCGCCCACCCTGAGCCATGGTTCTGCTCGAGGTTTCTGCCTCTTAAAAGGAAGTTTTTCCTCGCCTCTGTCGCCTAGTGCTGCTCTTGGTGGGAATTGTTGGGCTTCTGTAAATAGCATCATAGAGTACGGCAGAGGTCACTAATAGGCGGACCGCGGTCCGGATGGACCCAGCCGCCGTCCTCTCCAGACCGCCGACCTACAGCCCATTTATTATTGAGACTTACTACCTGTGACGGAGCGTTTCTATTTTAACCCGCGCAGCTTTTCTAGCAATTACTGTACTGGTTTAGAGGACCAGGAAACTCACAGACCAATCGCATGTGCTCCAATCGTCTCATGTGACGCTGCTCAGCCAATCAAATCTGTGCATACCGTTGCTTGCGAGTCGAGTCCGCGAGATTCACCAGAGACGTTTTGGAAACACACCCGAATTGAGGAGACGAAAGATAAGAGATTTCACATGACTTTTAATCAAGAATGTACAGATTTTACATGTACATTCCTCCCACGGGCAGTTCAAAACCAGAATATCTCATAGATCTCCAATATTCTAGCTGGAGCTCACGTTTCTCACTGAACAACAGAAAGTAGGAAAGTGGTAGCTCTGTAAGAGAAATGAAAGAGAAGAGGAGGCATTACAGCTGTTCATTTGTTATGGTGTGTGAGTGTTTATTATAAAATTGGTTAAGACTACACTTCATCACTTCAAGCTACACTTTTTATTACATTTTTTCTAAAAATTAGGCACTTTAGTTTACTTAAATTTAGAATTTATTATTTGAATAGTTATTATTTATTATCCTCCAGTTTGATGTGAAAATGACTGATATTATTTGATTGACAGTCCGTTGTTGACTAAAAACTATACAACTATAGGTTATAGTACTGAATGATAACGCAAGTTCGTCGTTTTGATGTTACGGACCTTTGCTTCAGGAAATTTTCTCTAACTAGACCTCTTTGAAATCTAATTGAATACCCCTGGAGTACGGTCTAGACCTGCTCTTTTATGAAAAGCGCTGTGAGATAACTGTTGTTGTGATTTGGTGCTATAAAATAAAATTAATTGAATGCAAAATGATGTAACATATCTCATTGATATTCATAATCTGAGCCAGTGAGAACATGTAGATGTTAAACACAGTAACACGTTACCTAGATCAAGGAGCATTTCATTTCCTTAATTTGACAGTGACTGGGTGATATCCGACAGACTACATGGCTCATCAGCATATGCTCTAGGTTTGGACATGTGTGTGCTGACATTCACCTCTACACTAACAAGCCTACAAACAGCCAGGACATTAAACTGATTTCTTATTTTCAGGCTGACGTTTATGAATATATATTTATGTGCTTTATTTGTTTTACAAGGACCTGTTGTTGTAAAAACAGCTTTGTTTTTGAACATGGTTCAATAAATTACAACTTTTATAAAATAAAATGACACTCAATGTTGATAAATACCTCAGGCATAATGTTACAAGTGTCTATTTTAGTAAATGGCAATCATTTATTTGAGGGGTGGCTGTGGCTCAGGAGAGGGGGTTGCCTGTTAATCAGAAGGTCGGCGGTCCCCGGCCGAGTCACTGAGAACCAAGTGCTCTGGTGTCACACCATATCTTAATTTTAATCGGGCAATTCAACAGACAACCTTATTTAAAGTTAATGGTACTCATAATGTGAACCCATGATGTGCACATGGTAAGTTTTTGTCTCAGAATTGTTCACCACTATAAAAGTGTTAGTTTTTTTGTCCTTTGGTGTGACAGCCCTAAATTATATTTTTTAATTAAAAACTGTATGTTAAAGTACAAATTATAGAAAATGTAGCTAATGTGCTGCTAACTTCTAATGACAGGTTAGCTAGGTATAGCATGGTCATTAACTGCACAAAAAGGCTGAAACATCCTTTGGTGTGACAGAAATGTCCTCTGGTGCGACACCTGTGACTGTCACACAAGAGGACAAAGTCTCTTTAAAACGCACTTTAAAATTATAATTAAGATTTGTTTAACTCCTTTAAATGCAAAAAATTACAGTAAAAAA